CAATAGGAAGAAAATGTCATGTCCTTAAAATATGCCTAAAGATAGTTTCATCAAAGTAAAGGCTGTGGGTTGCTTTGCATCAGCCACACAGTTACCACTTCATTTATATGTGGAAGAGGTACTGAAACATGCAATTAAATTGTTTGGAAGCAGTAGACCTCATTCACACTGGCAATAACATACATGCATTTAAATGTGTTTACAGGACTTTATTTTATATATATATATATATATATATATATATACATATATATATATATATATATGTGCATGTGAGGCCTATTTACATTTGTGTGGTGTGTTAACAAATATGCGTTACATCACATGTTAACATGCCTTGCATAAAGGTAGTCCATTGAAATCAATGTGCTTCTGTTTTTCATCAAAACCTCCCAAAAATTTTTACTTTTTTTTTTTTTTTTTTACAATGGATTTTATTATAGAAAAGACATCATCAGAGAAACAGTCATAAAAAGATCACTGACCAACAAAAATGAGACATATAAGTTTTTTGATGAATAGTACCATGAATGCACTGAAGTCGAAATGAGAATACAAGCTGAGTACACAAGCGCAGTATATGAGGAGGTAAAATAAAACATGTTAATTTGCAAAAATGGCATGCAGTTTGAAACCAATGAATTAGTAAATATAGAGCCAAGATTATCACAAAGTCCACAAACAGAGGGCAGGAGAAAAAAAAAAACACACAAAGTCTCACTGCGTGTACATTGGAACTCTATGTCCAGGACTCCCAAGAGAGTCCCACAGGTAGATACAAAATTGCTGGTACGATTCTTAGAGAAAAAAGTCACAGTCAACGCATATATCATGAAAACTGGCAGAACAGAGAAGAGAAAAGGAGGAACGAAGAAAGAAAAGACAAATAAAGGGCTCCAGGGGACTGCAACGGAAGAGAAAAAAACAAAAATCTTATATCGACAAAAGGGAATTGTCAAACCTAGATGGTTGGGCTACATCAAGCCAGGGGCGCCAGATCTGCAGAAACTTCATGTGAGTGTCTAACAATATAGCCGTATGTTTCTCATTAACCATTATACAAAAATTTGTACTTTTAATACTTGGTTTTGTAGTGAATGGAATTTCCTAAAACAAAACCATGGTTAAAAAATTTTTGTCTGAATAACTGTTTTCACCCGGCCCTTTAAATTTTCTCATCACTGCAGTTGAAAAGGAAAGTTGATTTGACCCCACTAACAATAAAAAAAAATTGAACGAATATTCTTCTTATAAAGGAAAACTTTTAAACAAAATTCTACTAGGGTATGACTAGCTTTAGGTTGGAGGGCTAGTCATAATATATTATAAATGTCACAAACAAAGGTGTAAGATGAGAAAAGTTAAGCTTACCATGCACTAGTAGATTCTTCAATGAATGTTTGAAAATTTGCACAAAAAAAATTTCAGTGCATTCCATGACATGATGAATGTTGTTCAAAAGTACTTCAAACTTTGATTTTCTTTTAACATGTGAGTTTTAGAAATAATGAAATTTATCAAATGAAAACCACATACACAGTTTGAAATTTGTTTGTTCACCAAAAAAATTCTATCTAGTTCCTTTGAATTTTTTTTATTACTGCATTCAAAAACCAAAGTTAATTTGTCTTCACTAATGATTAGAAAATGCTGTGAGAACTGTAAGATTCTAGATACAGTATTTGCCTATGGATTTAGTCTCATTCAGCTCTATAAGAAGTGTTTTTCAAAATGCATTTTACTACTAGTTTACTATTATCATGACCTTTGTCATACTCCAGTCGAAATGTTTTTTTTCACTTTAGATAGCGAGAGAAGGCCATGTCAGGTTTTGCCTTGTTTATTCCTTTGTTTTCACTTCCTGCCACAACAGAGTTCATGGGAATTTCTTCAACTGGAACATAGACAAAAACACATTTTTTTCAGAGTGGGAGGGGTCGACACTTATGGCAGTGGTATTATTGCTTTGCCATCTTGGCCTCATCACACTTGCATCCCCCATTTTGTCTATGAGCATCTCAGGGACAGGAAGTGCCCAATGCCCCTTAACCTTATTGTGTCCTGTATGTTCTTGCTTTGAAAGAGGTAAAAGAAGCCATGGATGCAGAAGCAGGCTCAGGGCTATTTAGTAAAAGTGATCGGGTGGCTGTAGAGCTGCTCAATCACTTTTACAGGAATCGCAAAGTGCACCATTCTGCTCTTTGTTACCCAGACTCTCCCGCTCCTCCTAGAAGCCCTGGACGACAGTAAATGTTGTATGGATGTCAAACAGGAGGATAGTGCAAAGTCTTGTGCAGAGTGTGAACCTGGAAGCGCTCAGCTCTGAGCACATCCTAGTTCAGAGATGTCAAAATCAAAAACCAGGTAAACAGCAGTTTGAGTACAATCTTTGGATGATTGTCTGGAGCAGAGGGTGGGAGAGACATTAGGAGTCTAATAGAGCATTGTTGTGTTGGTGTATCTGTCACCTGCTCAATGCTATTACATATGGAGCTTGTTAGCCCTTTCTGATAGCAATGAAGGTAGGTAAAAAAAAAAAAAAAGTTGTTAAAAAAATAAAATGAGAGTATAATAAAAAATTAAAATACAAAATTTTACCTTCCACCGCCCCGCAGATATACATACAAATGCAAACATGCACCAGTATATGAACAACATTTGTGCAACACATCTTGCGTATTGCCATGCATGTGGGAGTGAGAGAAATATTTCTAGATCCCTCATTTATAGTTAATTCTAAACTGAATAACTCTAAAGGCTTTTAAAGTATCTCCTGCTGATTATTTTCAGTACTGTAATTTTTCACCTTTTTGTGGAAGCATGCAGTTTTTATCCTTGACATACACTCACCGGCCACTTTATTAGATACACCTGCTCAGTTGCTTGGTAACACAAATTGCTAATCAGCCAATCACATGGCAGCAACTCAGTGCATTTAGGCATGTAGATGTGGTGAAGATGACTGATGACCGAGCATCAGAGTGGGGAAAAAATGGGATTTAAGTGACTTTGAACATGGCATGGTTGTTGGTGCCAGATGGGTTGGTCTGAGTATTTAAAAAAAACGCTTATCTACTGGGATTTTCACGCACAACCATCTGTAGGGTTTACAGAGAATGGTCCAAAAAAGAGAAAATATCCAGTGAGTGGCAGTTGTGTGGACAAAAATGCCTTGTTGATGTCAGAGGTCAGAAGAGAATGGGCAGACTGGTTCAAGATGATAGAAAGGCAACAGTAACTCATGTCAATATGGACCAAAATCTATGAGGCATGTTTCCAACACCTTGTTGAATCTATGCCAAGAAGAATTAAGGCAGTTCTGAAGGCAAAAGGGGGTACAAGCCGTTACTAGCAAGGTGTACCTAATAAAGTGGCCGGTGAGTATATATGGTATCTGTTTACTCAACATGACCTCATCTTTCATTCATACAAAATTGGAGATTATATTGTGCTTGTGTGCACTATAATTCATTTTGGTGTATTTTTTACTAAAAAAAATATATTTGATAAATATCATACTACATTAAAATTTACAACTACAATATTTTTGTTTTATAGGGCTTCTACTTTCAGAAAATGTTTAATGTTTTGGGGTTTTAAGTAATTTTCTATAAAAAAAATTAGATTTTAATATGTGCGCACAAAATAAAAACATGGCCCTGTTAGCAAAGGGTTTAATTTGTATCTTTTATGTCCACCCAGAGTTCAGCTTTATTCTCAGAAACCATGTATGCCTGTAGGACTGCAGAATTTGCTTTTGGAATATTCTATTGGGTCAAGGACTGATGCAAACAATTTTACAAATTCCATACTGCTGTGAGCATACAGTATGCTGGTGCTCTGTACATGAATAACATAAATTCAATTATTTGGTCTTAAACACCATTGTTATAGTTTTGCTCTGATACAAAAGACTGCAGTACATCATATCAGAGGCGTAACTAAAACCTTCAGTGCGCTAGTGCAAGAAACCATGAAGTCCCCCCTGACTTTTGGTCCTGGGGCCCTTCCCTCCGAGTCCAGGTCCCTTCCCACTGATCCTTTACTCCCATCTTAGGACCCTTTATTCTGGTCCTGCAGTAGGATCTTTTCACATATTCTGCAGCAGGCCCTGCTGTCTTGGGTGGCGTTACCACCTTTCCTTCAAGCAAAACCTGGACAGTTTAGAGGCGCACTGCACATTTTTTTTTTAAGTATACATTATACATATATTTTGTGATTAAAATAACATTTTTAATCATATGAATGTAATCAATAGAGTGCCCCCTTACATCAGAGTCCACAGAGTTCCCCCTTTACATCTGAATACAGAGTTTCACGTTACATCTGGATCCACAGAGTTCCCCTTTACATCTAGACTCGCAGAGTTCCCCTTTAAATCTGAATCCGCAGAGTTCCCCTTTCCATCTGAACTCACAGAGTTCTTACATCTGAGCTTGCAAAATTTCCCTTTAAGTCTTAATCCGCAGAGTTCTCCTTTACTTCTAGACTTACAGAGTTACCCTTTAAATCTGAATCTGCAGAGTTTCTGGGATTTAGAATTCCCACTCTTCTCCTTGTTCTTTCTGTAGATCTTCTGGTACAGATCAGTGTAATTCTGATTGGTCAGTGTCGGAACAGAACATCGCTCTGATCTGTCCCAGAAACGCTGCAGAAAAAAGGAGAACAGTGGGGATTCCAAATTCCTGGACTGCTACGCCAGCTGCATGGGCAATGACAGTTCATCAGCCACAGAGATAAGTACACTCTCTTGATCATCGCTGTACTTACCTTTTTCTGAGAAGGTGGCCCAACCCTTTGACTGCTACAAATGTATTTTAGGTCACTGTTAGACAATAACATTTTGTTTCATGTGTCTCTATTCAGTTAAACTCTCTTAATTCAGTCTCTTTTTTACAGAATGTAATATACAGTAATCAATGACCCCCAAGTTCCTGTAACGATGCACAAAGCAAGAAATAATTCTTGGAGAATACATTTTTTATATCTCTAGAACTTACCTTTATTCCTTGGTTTCCTGTCAATCCAGTCACCAATCAAAGCCCCAAATATCAATACAGAGCCAGCCACCACTAATCCAAAAACAGCTGTTAGCAGCAGGTTATGTCCATACAACTCAATGAGGAACACGGAGATGGCAAAGTGCCACATGCGATCCCCCTAATAGAAGAATAAACACAGTGTTACTAGTAACTCCATACACCTCTTCCCAGGATGCTGAGATCCTATTCATACTCCAACTCCTGCCTGTGATTAAAATCGTCACTGCAATGCATTTTCTAATACAGGTGAAACTCGGAAAATTGGAATATCGTGCAAAAGTTCATTTATTTCAGTACTGCAACTTAAAAGGTGAAACTAATATATGAGATAGACTCATTACATGCAAAGCAAGATAGTTCAAGCCGTGATTTGTCATAATTGTGATGATTATGGCTTACAGCTCATGAAAACCCCAAATCCACAAACTCAGAAAATTAGAATATTGTGAAAAGGTGCAATATTCTAGGGTCAAAGTGTCCCACTCTAATCAGCTAATTAAGCCATAACACCTGAAAAGGGTTCCTGAGCCTTAAATGGTCTCTCAGTCTGGTTCAGTAGGAATCCCAATCATGGGAAAGACTGCTAACCTGACAGTCGTGCAGAAAACTATCATTGACACCCTCCATAAGGAGGGAAAGCCTCAAAAGGTAATTGCAAAAGAAGTTGGATGTTCCCAAAGTGCTGTATCAAAGCACATTAATAGAAAGTTTTGTGGAAGGGAAAAGTGTGGAAGAAAAAGCTGCAGAAGCAGCAGGGATGACCGCTGCCTGGAGAGGATTGTCAGGAAAAGGCCATTCAAAAGTGTTGGGGACTTTCACAAGGAGTGGACTGAGGCTGGAGTCAGTGCATCAAGAGCCACCACACACAGACGGATCCTGGACATGGGCTTCAAATGTTGTATTCCTCTTGTCAAGCTACTCCTGAACAACAAACAACATTAGAAGTATCTTACCTGGGCTAAAGAAAAACGGACCTGGTCTGTTGCTCAGTGGTCCAAAGTCCTCTTTTCTGATGAGAGCAACTTTTGCATCTCATTTGGAAACCAAGGACCCAGAGTATGGAGGAAGAATGGAGAGGCACACACTGCAAGATGCTTGAAGTCCAGTGTTAAGTTTCCACAGTCTGTGTTGATTTGGGGAGCCATGTCCTCTGCTGGTGTTGGTCCACTGTGCTTCATTAAGTCCAGGGTCACCCTAGCCGTCTACCAGGAGATTTTGGAGCACTTCCTGCTTCCTTTTGCAGACGAGCTTTATGGGGATGCTGACTTCATTTTCCAGCAGGACTTGGCACCTGCCCACACTGCCAAAAGCACCAAAACCTGGTTCAATGACCGTGGGATTACTGTGCTTGATTGGCCAGCAAACTCGCCTGACCTGAACCCCATAGAGAATCTATGGGGCATTGCCAAGAGAAAGATGAGAGACATGAGACTGAACAATGCAGAAGAGCTGAAGGCCGCTATTGAAGCATCCTGGTCTTCCATATACCAATTTTACCAGATATTATACTATATTGTAACAATACTTATTTAATTTTATTTTATTTAAACTTTGTGAGCCATATTAAGAAGTTTTTTGTAACGTTTTATATCAACATTTATGTTTTACTAGTGATTTATCTCCTTTGTTCTTGTATATAGTATTGCATATCCATCCATGGTGCACTACATTGCCACACATGCCTACGTCTCATCATATGACTATACTAGAATGAGAGGCACACACCCTGTAGGCTGCATCTCTATGAATTAATAAGTGTCTCTGCTGGGTTTCAGATCTACTCTCTATATTAAATCCATGTCCCATGGTTGTCTATGGCAAGCAGAGCATTAGGCAGCTTCGTAGCGTTGCTCATCCATCCATCCATTTATTTAAAGGCGAGCAGTGCAGTGCATCACCAGGGAAGGATTTTTATTATTTTTTATATATGTGTAACTTTCCATTTATTTATTCATTTTTCACTGTGCACACTTCTTATGGTTCATATGATTTTATGATTGTCACTAGTTTCAATGGTTTTATTTATACACACATATATATATATATATATATATATATATATATATATATATATATATATATATATATATATATATATATTTTATAGACCTTTCGTGTTTACTTACACTATGTCGATTGCCCCTGTGACTCCTCCACCTGCACAGGGGAGTGTCCAGGATGGCCCATGTGACCTTTGGTTTAACTAGTAGTGAGCATATAAAAGAGGGAGCAGACATTTGGTCAGTTGGCTCTGAGGAAGAGGCAAGTCCTCGAAACGCGTCAGCCTTTTGGATGTCTAAACTCCCTATTGCGGACTGTTACTCAGCGCGGTGTTGATCCAGCTGTTCTTTTATGATGTGCCTTGACTATATTGTCGTTTGTGAGTACAACACCTACTTTATTTTTTATTAAACATTTTTTATGGTAATGCACTAGGCCTGTGCGCCCTCTTTTTGTTCTTTCCCCATTTGGTCTTCCATAACACCTCAGCAGTGCCACAGGCTGATAGCTTCCATGCCAAGCCCCATTGAGGCAGTAATTGCTGCAAAAGGGGCCCAAACCAAGTACTGAGTACATATGCATGCTTATACTTTTCAGAGGTCCGATATTGTTCTATGTACAATCCTTGTTTTATCGACTGCATGTAATATTCTAATTTTCTGAGATTGTGGATTTGGGGTTTTCATGAGCTGTGAGCCATAATCATCACAATTATGACAAATCACGGCTTGAACTATCTTGCTTTGCATGTAATGAGTCTATCTCATATATTAGTTTCACCTTTTAAGTTGCATTACTGAAATAAATGAACTTTTGCACGATATTCTAATTTTTCGAGTTTCACCTGTGTATATTGGAAAATGACTGAACAGTGATTACTTATTTGTTGTATATAACAAAATGTTATAAATTCTACTTCTAAAATATAAATTATCCATGCTACAGTCTGTAAAGTAACCAACATTATGGCCAAATAGTTAACAACAAAGGTTTGCACACCACTATTACTGGCATTATTTTTCAACCAACGATTAGAGATTTTAAGGGTGCTTAAACTCCTACAAACTGTATCAACCTGCTAATTCAACAACTGTATTTTTTAATTGTATTTTAATTGTCTTACTTATATGTACATTTTTTTCCCTGTATTTTTTTTTTTTTTTTTTAGATATTTTTCATAGATTACGGATTTAAAACTATCTTCTTGTATTGATGTACTGTGCCATGAGATTTCTCATATTTTTTACCTTTATAATGCACTTTTTGAGATGGAGCATGGTTTTCTTTGTAGCAGGTGTTTCCCATTTGTCAATACCTTAGAGCAAGCACACCACATGCAGATAAATGCTTTTGCAATAAAGCTGTGTTCAGGATTTGTAAAAACACTCTAGTACAACAGTTTGAAAGAAAAATTGTAGAAAAGGGTGAAAGAACTCCCTTTCTAAAGAACCTCCTGCCCAAGAGAAAAGGGGTTCTTTCACCCCCAAAATATTGTTTTTTTTTCTCTCTCTCTTTTCACCGAGGTTTGGCTCTGTTCTCTCTCCATCATTACCGGTACTTTACTCTGAGTAGTAACCTCTGTATCATCTGTATCTAGTAACCCATGTATTCATGAATATCAGCTGCTATATGACTAAGCAGTGCTTGCTGTATCTAGGTAAATGCACATATTATTTTAAATATAGATTGGAACTAACGGTGTAACACTCTTGCTGTATTATGCTTGATGTTACATCACATACTTAAATATATATATATATATATACATATACATACATACACATACACAAAATATTGCCAAAAGTATTGGGACACCTGCCTTTACAAGCCTATGAACTTTAATGGCATCCCAGTTTTAGTCCATAGGGTTCAATATTGAGTTGACCCACCCTTTGCAGCTATAACAGATTCTGGGAAGGCTGTCCACAAGGTTTAGGAGTGTGTCTATGGGAATCTTTGACCATTCTTCCAGAAGTACATTTGTGAGGTCAGGCACTGATGTCAGACGAGAAGGCCTGGCTCGTAGTCTCTGCTCTAATTCATCTCAAAGGTGTTCTATCGGGTTGAGGTCAGGACTCTGTGCAGACCAGTCAAGTTCCTCCACCCCAAACTCGCTCATCCATGTCTTTATGGACCTTGCTTTGTGTACTGGTGTGCAGTCATGTTGGAACAGGAAGGGGCCATCACCAAACTGTTCCCACAAAGATGGGAGTATTAAATTGTCCAAAATGTCTTGGTATGCTGATGCTTTAGGAGTTCCCTTCACTGGAACTTAAGGGGCCAAACCCAACCCCTGAAAAACAACCCCACACCATAATCCCCCCTCCACCAAACTTTACACTTGGCACAATGCAGTCAGGCAAGTACTGTTCCCTTGGCAACGACCAAACCCAGACACATCCATTGGATTGCCAGACAAAGAAGCATGAATCGGTACTCCAGAGAACATGTCTCCACTGCTGTAGAGTCCAGTGGCAGTGTGCTTTACACCACTGCATCCGATGCTTTGCATTGCACTTGGTGATGTAAGGCTTGGATGCAGCTGCTCGGCCATGGAAACCCATTCCATGAAGCTCTCTATGCACTGTTGTTGTGCTATAATGAAGGCCACATAAAGTTTGGAGGTCTTTAGCTATTGACTCTGCAGACAGTTTGCGACTTCTTACCTTGTCCTTCGCTCCCGTGATGTGTCCCCTGCAGCGTCCCCCGTCATCTCCTCCGGCCGATGCCAGCATCCGGCTTCCGTGTTCCGGTCCCTGCGACGTCGGGACGTACGGGCGCCGGAACCGGCGGCAAATTTGAAATTTTTAAAAAATGTCATTTTTGCTGTCATTGCTATTTCAATGCATTTCACATATATTTTGTCCCTACTGCTTTGTCCTGTGCCCTGCCTGCATTCTTTCTGCCTGGAAACTTAGAAAAGTCCATGGCGTCCAAAAAGCGTCCCTTTACGTCAAAAGCGGTTTTAGACCAGCTAGAGAACAGCGATAGCAAATCAGAACCACTTGCAGAATTGAGTGATAATGATTCGTGGGGAAATTCGTCATCAGACGCTGAAAACGATTTTGCGACTTTGCTCAGCGATGTGCAAACTTGGCGCTGTATTTAAAATTTCAGTGTTTTTGGTTTGATTATATTATTGAATTAAATTTATTATTATTATATTATTATTTTTTTATGATTATTTATTAAATTATAATTTATGATTTCATGTTTCAAGTTTTATCATATCCGGGATGTTTACTAGACTCTTGTTCGTACAGATTTCAGTGAGTTATTCCTTAAAATTACAGCCTACAATAAAAAACTACATATTTCCATGCAAAAAAATGGTACCGCTTTCAGCACAAAAAATCGGAAAGAATCATACCGCCGAGGAGGTTAAGTAACACCTCTATATGAGACTTGTTCAATAGAGTAGACTACAGGAAAAATGGGTTTAGGATACACAACCCCAGTAAACACATGAAAGCAGAACACTGGTAAAATAGGAATAATCAATTAGCAACATTTAACTGGTTATACAGACATGAGTATTAAGTTTCAACTATTTAATCGCAACACCAGCAGCAAGAGGGGGAAGAAAAGGCTTGTTGATTTATCACCTCCATGCCACCAATGCCAAAACGGGCATACAGAGAACTATGTAAATCTATACTCTGGCGTAAACAGATATAGGTACCCTAAGCTGAATAACAATGGCCTAAGAAGAGAAAAGATCCCTTTAACTAGAGATGACAACTTGAGTTTAAAGTTCCTGATACGGTGATATCTGTGTCTTCTGCTAGCAAAGGTGGGTTCCATAAGCATTAGTGAATGCTGGTAATTCAATGAAGGTAAACAGGTAAGCTGTGGCACTATTCAAAGCCAAAAAGGTCTCCTGGAAACTGAGGTGTAAAGGTGTCTGCATTCAGTGTCTCTAGAACAGTGGTCTCCAAACTGCGGCCCTTTGCTTGCCTTTATCTGGCCCTTGGGGCACTATTTCATTCACCAACACCAACAATGGTGCATGGTTCCTTCCAATGACACCAACAATAGGGCACAGTTCCTCCCAATAACACCAACAATGGGGCCCAATGGCACTAATGATGGGGCACAATTCCTCCGAATGATACAATGATGGGGCACAGTTCCTCTCCAGGACACCAACAATGATACCAAATGACTATTATGATGGGGCACAGTTCCTCTCCAGGACACCAACGATGGGGCACAATTCCTTCCAATCACACCAGTGATGGGACACTATTCTTACCAATGATGGGGCACTATTCCTCCAATGACACCAATGATGGGGCACAATTCCTCCCAATCACATCAGTGATGGGACACTATTCCTACCAATAAGAGCAATGATAGAGCACTATTCCTACCACTGACACCAATGATGGGGCACAATTCCTCCCAATGACATCAATGATGTGGCACAATTTCTCCCAATCACACCAGTGATGGGACACTATTCCTACCAATGATGGGGCACTATTCCTCCCAATGACACCAATGATGGGGCACTATTCCACCCAATGACATCAACAATGGGGCACAATTCCTCCCAATCACACCAGTGATGGGACACTATTCCTACCAATGAGACCAATGATAGGGCACTATTCCTACCACTGACACCAATGATGGGGCACAATTCCTCCCAATGACACCGACAATGGGATATTGTTTACTCCAACTGATGCTGCAACATTTTCTACTCCCGAAGGCCACAGTGTGGACCCTCTAAAGTCTGAAGGACAGTAAACAGTCCATTTGTTTAAAAAGTTTGGAGACCCCCGATCTAGAGTAATGACAGAAAGAGGTTGGGCATCCACACCCTCATTGGTCCCATGGATAGCACAGTCTCTTAGAAACAAGAGTTCTTGCCCAGGCTCTTGGCTGTTTGCAGGGATGTGCAGAGAAGCTGATGTTATCCTAGTGTGGTGATCGGCATCACCGCTGTGGTGAACTGATGTGCAGAGTCCCGCAGCAGTAGGTCAGCAATCTGTCTCTGGAGGAGAACAGCAGTCCCCCTGTGTTCAGCTCTGAAACCCATACCGAGAGAAAGTCCCTTGTTGTAAAACATATCTGCTTTCTCAGCATCTTTCTCATTCACCTTCTCTCTGCTAGTTGTAGTTCAGTCAGCATTCAGGAATACAGTCTGCAGTGGGTATAGGACTACAGGTCCCAAGATCCTCTGCTGTCAGAAGAACTGAATCCACTCTGCTAACAGGAAGTGATGTAGCAGTCCCAGTACTGGGGGGGGGGGGGGGGGACGTAATCATAGTCTCATCTGTAAATGTCCCTGAATGCCATAATGATATAGTTGGCACCTGGCTACAATTAAAAAATATTTAAAAAATTAATGAAGAGTTTGCTCACACTTTGATCTCTGAAGAGCAATCAGCATTTGGACTACTTTTCAGAGAGCATTTGACAAGCGGTAAGGAGGCCTTGTATTGCCTCCTTACCACCTGCTTTAACCCCTTCAACCCTGTAGTAGCATGCTGCAACCATGTATATTAAAATTTAGTTTTTATTTTTATTGTAGAGCCATTAAAAAATATTGTGCGAACTAGAACCTGTATATCTTTCAAAGCAACACATACAGGGATAGATTAAAATAGAATTTTTATTTGCAAAGTACCTCTTATTTAAAAAAACAAATGATATCTAAATCTTTTCATTAGTAATAGTTTTGGCAAACACTTCTGTTTTTGTACTCTTTTATTATTGGACTGTAATGCTCATATTACTGTTTAACAACTTGTTAATATTGAGCCTACCCCAAAAAAGTAACCTTACCCATATTGACAATGCACAGCTTACATAGACAAGAAACCTTGGCCCCATCAGATAGTTTACCGCTGGACCTGGCAAAAAAAAATCAAAAACAGATATAAAGACAACTGCAAGATGTCCAGTAAGATAACATAGCATTATTTAAAGTGATACTAAACCCAGGACCGTGCATTCACTATATCCGATCTCCAACAGTACACACAACATGGAAATGCAATTATTTTAATAAATATAAACTGCTAAATACCTTTTCTCATCATCAGTTAGAGCAGTCTTGTGACTTCTATCAGTGTTCAGCCAAGCACTGGTTAAAGCTCTAGGACAGTGGTCTCCAAACTACGGCCCAGGAGCCAGATGTGGCCCTTTGCTTGCTTTTATTTGACCCTTGGGGGCACTATTCATCCACTGATACCAACAATGGTGCATAATTTCCCCCACTGAGGCCAAAGAAGGGGCACAATTCCTCCCAATGACACCAAAGATAGGACACAATTTCTCCCAATGACACCAACAATAGGGCCCAATGACACCAATTAGGGGCACAGTTCCTCCCAATGACACCAATGATGGGACACAATTTCTCCCAATGACACCAACAATGGGGTGCAATGACACCAATTAAGGGACACAGTTCCTCCCAATGAGGGGACACAATTTTTCCCAATGACACCAACAATGGGACACAATTCCTCCCACTGACACCAACAATGGGGTACAATTCCTCTCAATGATACCAAAGATGGTGTCATGTTTTTTCCCATATTTGTCAAAACCTTTTCTACTCCTACTGGCCACAGTCTGGCCCTCCTAAATTCTGAAGGACAGTAAACTGGTCCTTTGTTTAGAAAGTTTGGAGACCTCTGCTCTAGGAGGATGCAGAACCCCTGACTCTTTGTCTGGAGAGTGTTGATTGGCCCTGTGCTGATCACATGCACTCTCCCAAGAAAAGAAAAAAAAAACTCTCTAGCAATACACACCAAACTGAGCATGTGCAGAGTGTCTTCACATGATATGTCTTATCAGGAGATAAGAGGGGGACACTGGAAGAAGGGGAAGATCAGAGAAGTCAAGATCAAACAGCGTTTTTACACAATGCAGAGGATTAACCCCTTAGGTTCCACAATGAGTATAACAAGCATGCTTTACTGCATATACAGACTAATTTTACTGTTGTGGGTTTAGTAACAATTTAACAATTAAATATATCATACTTATATGAGAGTAAGCAGAGAGTGGACTGGCAGCTATGGCAGAGAAGTATGAGTCCATTGCTGTTCACGTTAGGGACACAAAAATATTCAGCCCAGACCAGGATCTGACTGCTGCAAGAAGAAACCACATTGAACACAATCCTTGGAATTCATAAAAACTGGCGCAGACAGATTCTGCAAGAGTCTCTTATACATTCTAAAAGTGATAACGAACAGGCCAAATTTATGTACCTGTCTAAGGCTAGGTTCACATCTGTGCGGGTGGTGCCGCTGTGGACCCGCACGAAAATCCGTGCAGCCGCACCACCCACACAGAGGAATGTAGACCCGCGGGCGGGTGCCATTAGTTCTAATGGCATGCCACCCGCACTGGCAAAAACAAATGTTTTCCCGTGCGGGCTGCGTTTTTGGAAGAAGTGCATGGACTTCTTCCCTGTGTGTCACGGGGCATGAGAGTCCATTCCATTGGTCTCTCGTGCCCACTCAAAACGCGGCCCTCACAGCCGCATATATGTGAACCGGGGCTAAAAGATGTTTTTGGATTTGGCTCATGATGAACCACTTTTAGAGTACACGCGAGACATTTTTGCAAAATCTGTCTGAGCCAGTTTTTCTCTCTGTACCAGTAGCGGTCTGACCATTTGGAAACTGCCCGAGGGCCCGGGGCCAGTAGGGGGCCCCATGAGATGCCCCTGGTATTTTTTTCATAGGCTTTTTTGAGTTTGGGCAAGGACACAGGGGACCCATGATCCCCTATTGCCTGGGGGCCCCATGAGTTGTCAGTCCGCCCCTGCTCTGTACGCCAAAAGAGAGTTGGCCTTAATTACAGTATATCCACTTTTGAATTTGGTGCATTCAATGCGACACAATGTAGAAATGGTGCAATCAATGCGACGCAATGTAGAAATGGTGCAATCAATGCGACGCAATGTAGAAATGGAGCAATCAATGCGACGCAATGTAGAAATTGTGCAATCAATGCGACACAATGTAGAAATGGCGTGTTCAAAGCGACACAATGTAGAAATGGCGCGTTCAATGCGACACAATGTAGAAATGACGCAATCAATGCGACACAATGTAGAAATGGTGCAATCAATGCGACACAATGTAGAAATGGTCCGTTCAATGCGACACAATGTAGAAATGGTGCAATCAATGCGACACAATGTAGAAATGGTCCGTTCAATGCGACACAATGTAGAAATGGTGCAATCAATGCGACACAATGCAGAAGTGGTGCATTCAATGCGACACAATGTAAAAGTGGTGCATTATAGATCTACCTGAATTTGGTGCACGAGTCGCTGTCAGAACCTAAAGTTTCCCAAATGATTCATGAATTTGGCACAATACAGTAACAAGAGGGATTAACGGCAGAAAAATGGCGCATGGTGAGTTTTTTTGAAGTTGTAATTTTTTCTGACAGTGGGGAGTGACCGATCGTGTGTCAGAGCAGAGCTGGGAACACAGTCCATCACTTCCCCCTGTACCAGCACCACTTAGTGTACACCAAACACATAGCAAGGCACACATTTAACCCTTTGATCACCCTAGACGATAACCCCTTCCAAACCAGTGTCATTAGTACAGTGATCAGTGTATATTTTTAGCACTGATCACAGTGTTACTGTCACTGGTTCCCACAAATTGTCAGTTAGTGTAAAAATGTCCACCGCAATATCGGAGTCCCGCTATAAGTTGCGGATTGCTGCCATTACTAGTATAGAAGAAAAAAGTTTTAAATTCTAGTATATGTCCCATAGTTTGTAGATGCTACAACTTTTGTACAAACTAATCAATATGCGCTTATTGGGATTTTTTACCAAAAATATGTAGCAGAATACATTTTGACCAACATTTATGAAGAAATTTGATTTTACGAGGATGTATTTTATAGTATAAAATTTAATATATAGTTTTTTTTCAAAATTGTGTGGGTTTTTTCAAAATTGTTGGTCTTTTTTTGCTTATAACACAAAATGAAAATACAGCAGAGGTGATCAAATACCACCAAAAGAAACTATTTGTGTGTATAAAAGGACATAAATTTCATTTGGGTACAGCATTGCATGACTGCGCAATTGTCAGTTAAAATACCACAGCAACATATCACAAAAAATAGCCTGGTCAGTGAGAAGGGGTAAATCTTCCGGAGCTGAAGTGGTTAAAAAACAAGAACTTTTTTAACTACTTGACCTTCAGAAGGTTTTTTCCCCCTTCATGACCAGACCATTTTTTTGCTATTCAGCACTGAATTAAATTAATTAAACTGGTAATTGCGCAGTCATGCAATACTGTACGCAAATGAAATTTATATAATGTTTTCACACAAATAGAGCTTTCTTTTGATGGTATTTGGTAACCACTGGGTTTTTTAATTGTTATATTTATATTGTTCATATGAACAAACAACATTTTGAAAAAAAAAATATCAAAAACAATAAAATAATATTTCAAATTTTTTTTTTTAACATAACGAATAAAATCAAATGTCTTTATAAATGTAGGCCTAAATGTATTCTGTTACACATCTTTGGTAAAAAAAAAAATCCCAATAAGTGCTAAAGATATTAATTGGTTCATGTGAAAGTTACAGCGTCTACAATCTACGGTATATACAGTATATCTGAAAACTGGGCAATCCTGATGTACTGACTGCCTATCTTATTTGTTGAGGCCCTTAAAATGCCTGGACAGTACACATACCCCCCCCCCCCATGACCCCTTTTTGGAAAGTAGACAGTCTGGGGTATTTAGTGATAGGCATTATGAGGTTTTTTTTTTAAGTTGTAATATTTTGTCACAATTTTTGGACTGGTGTGGCAGTGGATATTGACTGGTGACAGCATGTTAGAAAAATACTAATGTTTTATTAAATTTTTTAGCATTGTTTTTTGTTACCATTTTATACATACTTCCATCAGAGTAGTTCAGTGTCACCATAGTGCTACTGTACTACTGACACTGTACTACTGTGGGGGGTGATCAGATATTTTTTTTTAAACTTTGATTGCTGTTACAGTGATGATCACTGTAACAGCAATGTTGTGAACTGTCATGAATGGGTTACATTCATAACAGCTGTGATTGGCCCACAGCTATCACATGGTACAGAGTGCTAGGATTGGCCCAGGTACCATAGGATAGCTGTGGGCCAATCACAGCACCACTGTAGGAATTACAACTGTTATGAATGAAATAATTCATAACAGCTTTGTTGACGTTCTGATCATGTGATTGCATAGAGATCGCATGATCCCCAGGCTGCTCAAAGCGGCTGGGTACTGGGAGCTGCAATCCGCTGTGTCTGGTGGTCAGTGTTGTCTGCATTTGGGGAAATATCCAGCTTACAAAAATATAAGGCTAAAGCCAAAGCCCCATATATTGTTAGACTCTCATATCCTACTTTATATACAAACTAAACATTCACATTTCAAGACTATCCCTTGACTTATATTACACTTTAGGGGCTAACTAACCCCTCTCTTCATAGAACTATCACAATATTTAGAGAAATGATAAAGCCTCTTCATATTGTGGATCAGTACGATTTATGAAATGGAGATGACTTATCTTTCCAAATTGGTTTACTACCCATGGGTCCTCACAATCATTATCCCAAGACATATCTTACAAATAGAACAACACAAAATCATAAACTTTTTAATGAGGATCCAAGAGGTCTAGGTTCGTCAGCCATATTTTGACATAAATATCACATATTGTACATACAGATTTTTAGACCCAGAGGTTACCATTTGGAAGCACAAATAGTCTCCACACTACACGCAATGGACATTCCCCTCTGGGCTTACCTCAATATTATAGAAACTTCTCAGGTCACTATCTATCATTTAATTTGTCTCTTCTCATCATATCACAAGCTCTCTGATCCTACCTTGCATTACTCCCCCCCACCCCCGTTCCACTGATTTAATTTATCACACTGTCCATTTATGTGTACTAGCTTATGCGGAAACTGCTACCTTTAAACACTGACCTTCTAGGAATATTAAATATGTTCACCAATTGTTTAGCACTCAGGAGTTCAGACAGATTGAGAATTTATGAAAGATCTGGAAGACCCCCATCTCAGAGTTCCTACATTATACCCAGAGCACGCACTTCCTTGATTTCCTTATACAGGACTGCAATCACATCCCCATTAATGCTAATAAATTTTGAAGACAGATGGTCCACCGAGCCCAAGTCCATAGGCTTAAACTCACTTCTATACAGGGACGTTATAGCTACAAACTCTAAAAAATATTCTGTACATTCCTACATTCTATAGGGACTTAATCAAGATCTTTTAAGCATTTAGACTACTTGAGTCTATTTATGCCCGGAGTGGACTGCACTGCTACCCTCCCTCTCCCCATCACCCCCACTTCTTTTCTTTTCTGACTTTCTCTTGAGATGTGGCAGTTTCTCTTTTCCTTCATGACCCCTTACCATTCTTTTCCTCCATTAAGGAGTTGAAATTCCATTTATAATGTGAACAAAAGCAAAGTGACAGTAGACCCTTAGTGATTTAGGCTAACGCGTTTTGGGAGACAAACTCCCTTCATCAGAGCTCTGGGAGTTTATGGACTCTTCTTGTCTGTTTTTATCACACTTTGGTTTGTATGTATTTTTATGCTTCATAATAAATTATTGGTTTCCTACATTAATGCACGAAGAGAGTGCGCCCTATTTTGCTTTTGTTCACCAGTATCAAGATTTCCCGATCTTTAAGGGCTGCACCTCTACGAATGACAGTTTCAGTTATCCTAGTCTGCATGAAGATTTGAGCGCTGGTTTAGTTTGTTCATTTGGATCCCATTTATAATGTGTTGACAGATAACAGGCTGACCAACATCTCTCAACCCTTACATTGCATTGTACTTCTACACATAATCGAGATGGATAGAGGAATCCTCCACATTGGGGAATTGTATCCTGAGCAGGACTCTCCACTATAAGAAT